GTATTTCTCCCAGATGGGGAGGGCATGTCTGAACCGGGAGCCCGTGGTACGGCACATCCAGGCTTACATAACCCAAGGGGTCCAGAGTAATCATTAACGCCGGCTTATTGCCACTGGCTTTGTGCTGGAGTCACCTGGTTGTTTGGATTAAAAGTATAGTGGCCATTTAGACAAGGAGAAGGCTCCTGGCAGAAGGATTTAAGTGGAAACAACTGCCTGGGGAGGACGGGAGTCCTCCCTATGAAGGGCTGTCCCAAACATTGCAGGATCTGAACCCAAGCACTCCTCCAGGGAGCCAGTTGCCACCTTGCATCACACCATCCTTCTTGATGGGCTGGTTTGCTTTCCACAGGGGTGCAGCTCCCTGAGCTCCCCCCAAAACTGCCAGGGAAAAAAAAAAGCCCCCACAGGTCAGAGAAGCAGGACCTTTTTAGGGCATTTTACCTTGGTGACTCCCAAGTGCAACACACCGATGAGCGAGCTCTCATTCCTCTCTCCTTGGCATCCTTTCCAAAAGTAGGCGTTATCAGTGCAGCCTGACTTTATCTCATGCCCTGTTTTTACCTTTCTTTGCTTATCTGATGTCTCACGTGTCCTATTACTCTTTGCCTTCTGTAACCTGCTGTGTGTTATTGATGTGTGGTCTGTGCTACTGTCTGGGGCAAAGGAGATTTGGGATTTCTTGGTTCTGTTCCCGTTTCCCCTCTGCGTTGCTCTGTGGTCTCAGACACATCCCTGCACTGCTCTGTGTTTAGCCACAGGTCACAGAAGTCAGGTCACCTTACAGAAATATCACTTCACTCTTACTTCTTATGCTTAGTCCTTACCTTGAGTACAACCTTCCCAGCTGATGGCTCCTCACCATTCATAGAATCATAGAATGGTTTGAGTTGGAAGAGACCTTAAAGATCATCTGGTTCCAACCCCCCTGCCATCAGCAGGGACACCTTCCACTAGATCAGGTTGCTCAAAGCCTCATCATAGCATTGTTCCTTCACCCCGAGCTCTGATGAAGAGACTATGAACAGTCAGAAATTGCAAGTAAAACCTTCTAGAAATCTTGCAAGTGTTAGGAACCAGATCACAATCATTTTGTGAAAGCTCTAACACTACACACATGTCCATTCACACCTCAGAAATTCAGTTATAGGTGTTTTAAATCAATGAGATTTATACATATGTACACACCATGCTGTGTTTTGCTGTGCAGAGTTGCTGAAGCAGGGATATAATAAACTTATCTGCAGCTGTGGCATCAAAGCACTTAGAAATATATATTTATCTCCAGATGAGTAAAGAGCAATCAAGCTTAAGGCAAGGCCACATTTTTCTCATGAATCAGCATGGCCTACGCAGGCAAATAATTCCACATAAAACAAACATCAAAAACTTCTTCTCAAAATTCTACTTTTTTGTGACAAACCTCTGAAAACATCATTCATTTCCATGCAGAACTATCTCTCCTTTCACAGCAAACATGGCTCTATTCTTTCAAGCAAAATGTTGCAACTTTTACATAAACTTAAATTCCCTTACAGGTATTAGTCAGAAAAACTCACACAAACCACACTCAGAAATTATACTTAAAGAAGAAAAGAAAAAAGAAAGAAAAAAAAAAAAGAGAGAATAAGTGTTTTATGGAAAACATTCCAGGCTAAAACAGCTTAGATCTTAGATTTCCACACTGCTGTGCTCCCAACAGCAGGGATTTTGCATTAGTCCACTTCAGTGGAGTAAGTATTGCCTCTTGCAGAAAAACAACAACTTCTGCCCCGAGTTTCTTGCAGGGTGAATTGCCCGATGTTACAGCAATATCAGAACTCCAGGTGAGTTGGGGAGGAGACAGAGACGCTGGTTAAAATAAAGCGGCTGGTTTAACGTATGATGTCGATAGGGTGAGAACAGAAGGGAATTGGAGATCCTCTTGGTGCAGGCTTGCTAATTAAAGCGTGTCTGCCACTGGCACTCTTAAAACAGCTGTCCTTAGGACTCTGGTCTTCAGGCTACATCTCAGGAGGTAACAACAACCTGGAGTGAACAGAACTTACTCTGACACATCCCTCAGTGCTCTTGCCAGACACATAGGGATTCTCTAGGAAAAATAATCAGGTTTTCTAGGAAAAGTAATCAGAGATCCCTGGCTCATCAGCTGGTGGTTTTGGTGGCTGTTCCTCAGGGAGAGGCTTTAATCCCTAAGTGCCCATTAGTCTCAGAGTGATTCTTGCTGGGAGAAGATCTGGACCCACTGCACCATTGCTTCCATAGAGACTCAGAAGTTATTTTAATACTAGTAACACTGTTGGTTTCTTCTTCCAGTGGAGACCAAGCAAGCAAAGCACAGTGCAGGAGACATCCTGGCTTGCAGATCATAAGAGCATCATGTTCATGCCCATGGTGTTACAAATGGGAAGCAATGGTTGTTGCAGGACAGGGCGTCTTCTCCTCAGGTCTGAGGCATTCGTCGTACCACAAGATCCTTCACATCACTCTTTCAGACATGGGATTTACAGAAGAGCCAACTGAAGCACCTTGGCACCAAGGCCTCTGCTGTGCTGAGCCTCTTTCACAATCTAATCCTGTGACTACTGGTCTTATTGCTTGCTCCTTCCATCCAAGGATGACACAAATGTACATAAAGTCCCACAGCATCACCATCACGCATCATGATCACAATTTTACAAGAAAGGGAACTGCAGAACATGGCGATTGCATCCTTTGTCCTGGGTCACACAGTGAGTCACTGTCACAGTCTCAAGCAGCCTCTGAAGCCTTTCCTCCTTGATACTAACCACTAGAGCTTGAATTTCCTCAAAACCTGCTTGCTTTGATTTATTAACCACAGTTTTACTGCAGCTGCAGACCTCTTCCACAGCAGTCAGAAGCCACAGAAGGTATTCGGGTCCCAGTGCGGCTGCCAGGTGAGGCATGAGGGCTCCAGCGAAGGGAGAGTTGAAACATCTCGCGCCTCTCAAGAACCTTCTGAAATGAGAAAAACTTCTGAAGGCAACTTCAGGTCTGTTCCATCATCTCCCTGTTACCCAGCACCTGAAAAGTTACATCCAGGTGAATCAAAATTTCAAGCGCTAATGTCCTGATTACAGAGCTGGCTACAAAGGAAATTAATGAATAATAATTTCAAGAAGGGATTTAAAATTTCCATTTTCATTTTATTGTCAAAGTAAATATATTTTTATGAAGAACAAAAGAAAATATACAGAATTGTAACTTATGTACACTGGCTTTATAGGTATTTTTGTTTCCAATTTACACAAATTTTGATACGTTATTAAAAGATATTTTATATAGATATGCATCTATGTACAGTTTTATTTACATACATTCATAGGATGTGATATAAACCAGTCAATAGATGATAGTTCATTTATATTAATTTCTAGAGGACAAAAGGAATGCATTCGCTTTAGCTAGACCTGCTGTTCTTGCACAGCGCGGGCTCCTGCTCTGCCTAGCGCTAGAATCGCTGTTTCCTATTTCCCATTTTGCCAACAAAAAGACAAACAGATGCCGTCTGCAAATGGAAAGGAAATGCAACATCCATTATAAAATTGTTCCTAATTACTGAATTCTATTTTCTTCTAAAGCTTCTTACAATCGCCAGAGTTCAAAAGGAAAAACAAAACAAGAAGAAGAAACACAAACAAAATCACTTGCCTGCTACCATCTGATTATTTGTTTAAATTCCCTTCTTAGCCAGCTACCACACAAATTTGTTTCTTTTGGCTACTGTTCTCACCCATTCGCCCACCCCAGCTGCATGGAGCTCTGACATGGCTGTCGGTAAGCAGAGGATTAGCACTGAACATCACCCTTGGACAGAAGATCTCATGGTGCTGTCCCACCAGGCCATGATGCCTCCCACCCTCCCCTGGGTACAGGTACATCCTACAAGACCCTGCCAGCCAGGAAACGGAGACTTAGCTCCAGCCAGTGAGGTGGTGGGTGGCAGCGGATGCTCGGGGTGCCCGGTGCTCACCAGTAGCACCGGGCACCTCCGGAGCTGGCGCTCTGGTTTCTCTCCCAAGATCACACAAGACAACAGGAGCAGAGACAGGAACAGAGCTCAGCCGTTCTCACAAACGGCTTCCTGCTGCTTTACACACTAGACAACAGCTCTTCTGCTGAAGACAGTGAGTGGATGCTGCAAACCAGAGTCGAAGGAAAGCAGCGTTTCCTTCAACGCATGGTGTGCACGGGACGTGCTCAGCCACACCGAAAGGCTCCACGCCAAGCCACTTCATCCAGCCTGAGCTTCCAGGTTTGCTTGGGATATGCCTTTGCTTAAATATCTATATGTATGTATGTATGAATATATATACATAAATATTTTTATATAGCCCTAACCAAGGAAAAGGTAAATGAGAGCCGGAGAAGTCGGAGAGGCGTGGAGGCTCATTCCAGCGCTCTCCATGCCTTGCCTCCCCCCGTCCCTGACTCCCACTGTTCCTCCTCCTATGGCCAGCCCCTACAAATCCTTGGCTCAGGCAACCCAAAAACAAAGGAGTTGTTTTCATTTCAAAAGGAATTTGCTGTTTCCAAACTGGACAAATAGAGCAGCTTAATAAAAACTCACAATGAATGGCCTGTACATGAGCAAATTCCTTAAGAATGCCAGGGCTATAATTAACTAGCAGCAAGCAACTCTTACATTTTCCTGTGGAGCAGAAAACAGCTAAAAATAAAACACTGTAATTTCCAAAAGCAGCAGCAGCAAAGGAAGGAAAGATAGAAGGAAAGGAAAAATAACATCCTTAAAAAATAAAAAAATAAAAAGACAACATAAAGGAAGAAGCACCCCCCTCCCCTGACCCAAAAAGAACTTCATTCTCAAATCATCTTTAAAGGACATGGGACACTCAGACATGGTGGTATCAAGTAACAGCATTGACTGTTCTGTGGAGACAAATAAATTATCACTAGAAATATAGTGAGCAAAGTGCTGTCATCGGCTCTTGTAGGACGGCTGGGCGGGAAGGGGAAAGTGGGACCAATCAGTTCACGGAGCGGACGGAGCGGTTGCTTCGTGGGAACCGATGCACCTTGACATGTTTGGACAAGTGGTCACTTCGAGCAAACTTCTTCTCACAGACAGGACACTGATAGGGTTTCACCCCTGAGTGGGAGCGCCTGTGCCGGGACAGCTCATCTGACCTGGAGAACCTACAAGAGAAGAGAAGCCTTTTCAGGTAAATGGGTTTTTACACTGCTAATTCTCTCACAGTGAAAAAAAAGTCTCCTCGGGACACTGGGAGACTCCACTTGTGGCAAAGTCCGAACACACAAACTGAAAGGGACACATAACAGGACTGGTTTGGTCCCAATCAGCAGCAGTGATGGAATCACACAATTATCAACCTCATCCCTTGTCAATTCTGGACTTGGAGAAATGCATTAAGGCAACGTTTGTACCAACCTTGCCCTAAACCCAATAGCATGGGTACAGCTCAACAAACACAGAGCTGCTCTTGATCCCTCTGCCAGTCCCTTCCAAAGCCCTGCCTGCAACCTCTCAAAATCCAAGCACAGACCCTTCTTGAGCAGAGCTACCAACCAACATCCCTCAGGTGAGGTCTGCTCCAAGCTCCCACTGAGCACAACGGACATCTAGTAATTGCACCTGGTTTGAGATGGACCCCAGATAACAGCCAGACAGAGCTACAGAGAAGCTACACGGCTTATTAGATCCAGATGAAAAATTGGCTTTTTAGCCTGCTCCTGCTAAATAAAGTCATTAACATCTCAGTACCAGAGATGTTAAACATCCTAGCAGCTTAAATCCAGGTGGGCCTCAATGGCCATTAGCACAGTTACTTCATGGGTAGATTGAAATCAAGATTGAACCTTTAATTACTAAAATTGTCTCCCGGAGTCATTTCAATTTTAGATATTTCCCACCTTCCATCTCCACAGAAAAATCCCCAAATAGCCACTGCGAATCCCACAGGCTTTACCCAACTCAAATCAGCTAATCCTTTGGTCTTAACAGTGGGGCTGGCTGTTTCCAGCTTGGACATGACTGGGAGCCACAGGGTTAATTAATATTGTCACACTAAACCAGCCCTGTCCAGATGGGTACAAAAAATTTGCTGCCTGACAAAGGGCAATTAAGTGTTTTGTTGCCAGAGCAGTAACAAAGAGCAGCACAGAAAGAGAGCTTGCAAGAAATGGAATCAGCTGTTTATTTACAATAAATAAATGAAGTCATGGGCACTAGCTGAATAAATTGGGGAAAGAACATGTAGAAAAATGTGCCCTTCTGGAGCAAAATATCACATCACCAACAAAGTGAACATGCTATTTTTATGAAAGGGGGAAAAACAGGACCACTGGGTTCCTATGAATAAGTCATTCATGCAAGAAAAATAAGTTCCCACATAAAGGTTTTAATTAGCTCTGATGTCCCACCACCACTTTAGGAACAGGGTGCAGGCACTGGGAAAGCTGGGAATGGTTTCCTCAGTTCTCACAGCTCTTTTGCCTAGTGATGCTACCCACAGAGTGCTCTGCAGCCAGCACAAAGCAGACACAGACACTTGCCGTGGGTAAGGTATGGTGTGGACATGTCTCTTCTAAGGGCATTGCTAGGGAAGACTCCTTCACCCATTCTCTTTCTTTTCTCCCTTTCCTTGCTTTGGTATCCCCATGGTGAAAGAGTCAAATTCACCATTAAGAGCAACAGGCAGATCCCCCAATGCAGCCATCAACCCGTCCCTTGTCTGGGATGCGCTTTCTTCGTAAAGTTACAGGGGTTTCTCTTCACCCCTAGTACTTGCACATTTGCTTTCTCTGGCATCCCTGCTCCTTCCAGCCATGGCCTCCCAAAACCACAGTCTGGACCTGGGAGCAGCAGGTCCAGAGATCTCTCCCAAGTCCTTGGCGGTGAGCTCATCCCAGTGCCACATCCCTGGAGGGATGCTCTTGTAGGGCTATGGATGAGTGCAACTAAGCATCTTTCTGGAGAGGGCAGGATGTTTCCCATGCAGACTGCCTCCGTGGGACTCAATGCTGGACAAGGAATGGACCTGTTGCCACTGGTGGCAACCACATCCAGGGAAAGAAGGAGCAGAGAGGGGAAAGCACCTTTTCAAAGAGGCAACCTCTTATATACAGGTTTCTTGCTCAGAGAAGGAGGAAAACCAGATGGGGACAGGTTGCCTTGTCGTATGTCCCTGGCCATTAAGGTCACCACCTGCAAGAGAAGTGCAGTAGCACATGGCTAATCCTGCACGAGAGCTCTACAAGTGCATTTTGATGGGGATTGCACGGATGGTGGGGGAGAAAGAGGCGCATATCAGGAAGGAGCAGCTCTGCTCATACTCTGGGAGATCGGATGAGTTCATCCGACAAAAATACACTCTGCCTCATAACGATGTCCTTAGCTGAAGAGGCAGGAATGTTGCAATACTGTTCCCCAGCAGTCACGGAAAGATCAACTTACAGAGCGCACAGAAATAAACCTCGAGCTGTCGGTGTGTTTACAAAAAAACAACGCTAAGGTTAGGACAAGGAAGCCGGGAGGATCTGGTGGCCTGGCTCTGCAGTGAAATGATATTTGCAGCACGTTCTGGCACTAAGACCATCCCAAGAAAACAAAATAATCTCCAGTGGAATGCCAAATTTGAACAAAAACAAGGTACCCCCAAGGAACACCTCACTATCCCAAGTCACTGCCATTTCCAGAAGGATTCCTCCTTAAAAAGGGAGGTAGAGAGATCTGGGCAATCCCACAGCAACTAGAAGAGTCTCCTTCATCCTTTGATTTGGTGGGACCCCAAAGGACCTGTAACTACATCTCCCTTGGAGACAAATCCTAGAGCTCCCTGATGTGTATGATGTGTCTTGTGTCTCCCGGTCAAATGAGGACATTGCTATATGTGGCTCACAGGGCTTCAGCCTAGTACTCTATGGGCTCTACCATGGCCAACAGCCATTGAGACTGACCCAGGCTGTACCTCTCCTCTGCAGTGGAGGAGTGGCTCTGGATTCATCCTGCCCACCCCAAAAACACAGCAACAGTAAACCAGTGCTCCTCCTGCGCACCCGCAAACCCTTTTGCACACCACCAGTAAAAAAGGCCAGTGAGAGACACCTGCCCTGACCTGTCCCACGTGTGCTCCTCCCCACACTCGCCCGGTCCCATACACATTCCTGGCCACATGCACTATAAGCCTTTAAACCCTCCCTACCAAACCAGACAGAGCTTGTATTGCACCCCATCACCTGCAGAGCTGGCTGCGGGGACACACCTCCAGCCCAACGATGTGGCAGGGCACTGAAACGCCATCGCCCGATCCCCCAGGCCCTACCACCCCTGCGGCTCTGTACGCTGCCCTGACAGCAGAGGGAAAGCAAGAGCTTCTCCTGCTCCGTGCTGTAACAGCTGATAGGACCAGCCCACTCTGCAGTTCAGCTTTTTGGTCAGGGCTGTCTCCAGAGCAGCACGTGCCAAAGGTATAAGCTGGCATGACACGGATCAGCGCGCCGACCGGTACAGCGGGGTATTGAACACAACGGGTCACCGGCCACTTACGAACGCTCCTCTGCAGCCTCGCCCCGTGCCAAGGAAGGGCACAAGCAAGCAGGGCTCAGCCTCCTCCAAGGAGGTCCTAGGGGCTCTCTGGCTGTCCTAGGGGCTGGCAAGAGGGTTTGCTGTGTGCACCTCGGTGCATTTAGAGCATACAGCATCACCAGAGCAGGGCTGCCCAGAGAGCAGGGAAAGTTTTAACCCCACCACAGCTCAGCTACTTTGTGCTAGGCAACACTTTGTTTTGTTTTTGAAATAACTGCCTCAGTCAGCTCAGATCTTAAGTGTCTTCAGTGAAAAAATAAATACACAAAGACAAGAATGCAGGGAAAGGGGGAGAAAGCAGAGCCCAGCAGTGTTTTAGTGCTTAAATTCATTTGAGATGATATAAAACTGGGAGCAGAGAGTCCAGATGCATTTGACTTAAGTCATGTGAGATCACAGCTCCCGCTGAACTTCTGGAAAAGGTAAACACGGTTTATTGATGAAAGGGGACTGAGTAATTCAGTGCTCAATTGGATCTGGCCTTTGATGTGGGAGCAGTGTGTAGGGCATGTGTAGGAATGTCAGCCCAGCACTCAGGATTGCTGTGAGCACAGGACACAGATCCCCAAGCGCTGCCGCTGCTGCTGGTGATAAACCTCCCCTCTCAGAGTAGAGCCCTTCCCAAGCCTGAAAGTTGTGAAATGCAACAAAACAAACAGCAACAGAAAGTTTGAAAAGCCCCTCGGGCAGCTGTTTGTGGACAGGACACATGTTCCTCGTAGCTACAGTGATTCATTTCTCATCCTTGTTGGGCTTCTCAGCTGTAAGAGGCTGTGGCTGGCTGAAAGTGAAAGTTCAGGGTGCTCCAGGTTGCAGGACCTGCACTTCTCTTGTCCCACCTTACACCTGCATGCTGCTCTTCATCCACACCATTCGCTGTAACACTGGGAGAAGGCAGGCACCCCAGTGTGAATTCAATCTCCACCCCTTACCACTTAACATTTTTCCTAAATGTTCTCCTTGGTGTTGCAGCCTGGGAAACACCAGCTCTGTCTTGTTACAGGTGACCCACAGGCAACACTTTAAGCTCCTGATCTTGAGCCACAAAAGCCACTGGACGCATTGGTGTAAGTCTCAGCATGGACCAGACGAACCCTCACGTGCCACGTGCATTTGTCACAAAAATGAGAGTTTTGCTGACATCCCAGCGCAAGGAAAGCCAACATGACACCCACCAGCACGTTCACAGGCAGGAGGCACATCTGCTGCCGGTGCACACGTACTCTAGCAAGCAAAGAAAAAGGAGCGAGTGCCTCTACTGCCAGTCAGGAGCAAACCAGCCTGCAGCTTACGGCACCAAGCACCTAAATAGTGTGGCTTTAATTTCATTGCACCCTGACTGGTAAACCACTGAGCCCAGCTCGTGAGATGTGCCACCAGTAGAGAAGGAAAGAAAATCACCACCTGTTTGTACAGCCACCATCAACTGAAATGGGAGAGAAAAATCACCAAAGAAATTAACTGCATCGATCTCCTCAATCTCACCAAAAGACAAATTTCAAACTGGTCCAGTGAGGAGCAGAGGGTCCAGCCCCATTCTGACCTTTTCCCTCAAACCAATCCAGCCATCTCTAACTGCTGCGTGTCTCACATACTTGCATTTTTACACAACCCCCTCCTGTTACTTTTTACCTCGCCTGTTCCCCATGATCACAACTCATTTCCTCATTAGACATTGCTCGCTGAAGCTCTACAGGACACTCTTTGAAAGAAATCCAGTTTAATTTAATACAAGGGAGTTAAGATTTTGTTTTCCCCCATCATAATTTGTGGTGCAGTATATGAACACTTGCCAGCAGGCAGGCTAGTAATACATCTAATTGGAAAGATGGAGGAAGGTTTCTGCCAATGCTTCCTTAAAATAAAAAGTTAATTTTTTTAACAAAGTTTTAATTTTTAAACTAGTATTAAAAATTAAAACTTAATTAAAAAAAAAAAAGATCAAGAGATACCCTCTGTGAAATATTTTGCTCAATCAAACCTGCAATCTTCCATTTAGGCAATGCTTAACTCCACCTCAGCCTTCTGGTTATGTTGTTACATCCGACAGCTTTTTGCAGCTTTGAGTGGCACCCACGCATTTTTCTGAATCAATGCAGAGAATAAAACCTAGAGCACGCTGGAGTGGCACTGCCAGCATTTCCAGGAGTGGGATGGAGTGCTTTTTCTAGTAAACAGCTCAGAATACTGCTGCCCTTAACCTTAACTCCCTTGTCGCAGCCCTTCAGAGATCACATTTAGCCCTGTGCAGTTGGAGCCACACAGAGTGATTCTGCCCTAAACCACCCAGATCACTTTCAGCCCTCAGCTGGTACCAGCTGAGCATCTGCTGCAGCTGGTGTGTTGCAACCAGACCAATGTGAACCTAAGGTATTGCCTGCAGTAACAAGCTTAATCTGACTCTCTTGGAGCAAAATACAAATTACAATGGACTACTACTTTTTTTTAAGACACTTAAACAGCTGGTGCCAGCAGGTGATGCTCTGCTATTTCATTTATCAAGCCCCCTGGATTACCTAACAGAAAAAAAAAAAAAATCTTAATTCTCAAACCAACCAAACAAGTTCTGGGAACGGAAACAGTTTATCACTCAGAGTGCAAACCTACCTGCTGGGCAAGTCAGGTTGAGTGAGGAAAAAAGGGGAAGTGGGATGGGACAGTGCTGTACCCCAATACTAACCTCCATCCGCAACCCGGCCACGTGCACGCAAAAGGCTTTTCTCCTGTGTGCCTCCTCAGGTGGGCTTTCAAATGGCTGCTTTTCGTGTACATCTTGGTACAACCAGGAAAAGAACACTTGTGCATTTTAATGAGTTCTGCTGCAGGGTTCTTTTGAAATTTCTGACCCATGATGATTCCCGTCTGACCCTGGATCATGCCTCCTGGCCCAATTGGCTTGGCAGCGATGGGGACGGGAGCAATGCGGACAAATTTAGAGGACAAGTTCAAATTTGACGACTGAACTATCTGAGGCACAAGGGCAAATGTCTGTCCTTGGATGTTGACTAGGAGCTGTGCAATTTTAATGTTCTCTTGTGCTGGTCCTTGGGAAATGGGGCTTGTGTTGGACTCCTGTTTGATCTGTACAGGCTGAATTTGGAGCATAACAGGTATCCCATTCTCTAGGGACATTCCTCCATTTGAAACTTGGCCACCTTCCGTTGAGCTGCTCAACTGTTCATTTTTGCTCTCTTTTAAACTAGCACCGGGTAACATATGGTCTTTTTGCTGTAGCGAAGCAACAGAAACTTGGCTGCAAGCTCTCAAGTCCTTGGTCTCACTTTTAGGTCTTTCTTTGAGCTCCAACTCCATGTTCTCTTCCAGAAATTCCTCAATTTCCTCAAGCGTGGGCTGAAATGGTCCAGAGTCTTCCATATCCACGGCAAATTCAGGCAACCGAAAGTACTCCTCTTTCACCATCGGCTGTAGTCTCTTGTCCCACCATGATGCAGCTCTGTTGCCCAAAGATGCCTGGGACAATAAGTAGTCTAAGATACTGTCCTGACTTTCCGCACTGGACGTGCTTCCATAGCTGGAGCTGAGAACCTGGGAGTCAGGGCTGGAACAAGAACAAAAGCTGGAGGAGTCGCTGTCATCTTCTGACAGGGGAGAGGGCAGCATTTGGTAGGACCTCACCCCTGCTGTCATGTCCCCAAAGTATCCAAGAGAAGATCTTGTAGATGAAAAGGATTCATCAGTAGGCAGCAAGTGATCCACCATTCCTGGGCGATCTCTTATGGATATCCCAACAGCATATACCAGGCAGCGAAAGTTCAGGTGAGAGCCTGAGTGTAGGAAAACAAAACAGCAACAGTCAGAAGTCGGTTTAATCATTTATCTCCATGAACTACAGTTCGTAAAGCCCTCTGGCTCACAGGAAAGTCCTAAACATCCAGCCTCACTGAGTACACATGCTGCTACACGCTTTGATACGTCTGTACCACCCTCTAAGGGCTGTCAGGGACGAAGCATTTTGCAGGATTGCACCACGTATTTGCAAAAGGATTCTTTCAGAAATCATTTCCCAACTGTGTGCGCTCTAGATTTACAGCTCCCTTCCAGAATATTACTGGCAAGAGAAAATAAATTATGGACTTTCACCTAACAGTGAAACCTAGAGCCAAAGAAGGGAATGGGGAGAAAAAAAAAAAAAAGAGCGTGTTGAAATTTTTACCACCCAAAAAAACAAACAAAAAAACATGAATAAAAAAAATAAGTTTATTGCTGGTGGCCATAAAATGCAAATCCCTTCCTTATCTTGTAGCTTTCCGCCAACCTTATTTTTAACTTCCTCAGTTCCACAAATATAGGCTAATCAGCATAATGCAAGGATCAATCTGTCAGGAGCCGAAAATATTTACTGTGCTTCAGCATCTACTAGGCGGATTTTCCCCTCCAGATGTAATGAATCAGTTTGCCAACGTCATCATCACCTGCACTGCCCTTAATAGGGCTGGCACTGCGCTGAGCTAATTATCATGGCCTGGCAAGCCAGCTGGTGGCTGGTTTCACCTCATCACTCCACACTCCTCTCACTCTCCCGGTACGGAGGTCGAGGTGATCCTCATGCCAGTTGCTAAACTGGGAGGACTCGTACAGACCCCCGGTGTCTCAATCCGTTGTGACCCATGGTGGGCAGCCACGCTCTGTTTCCCCCCCGTGTCGAGGCAGTGAGCGGGCAGCATCCCGCAAGCCCCTACTCACGTGAGCCATAATCCTGCTGCAACCCCACGGAGGCACATGGGGAAAATCCATCCTTCCTAGCGCAGCCCACCGCAAGGCTCGCGGGCAGCGGTGACCGTCCCGCGCCTTCCCACTTAAGCTAAACAAACTTCCTAGAAAGGTTTCTGGGGAGGGGAAGGCAGGAGGGGCATCTGTGTATTTGTTTTCTTTTTCCCCCTGTCCCAAGAGGAAAAAAAAAAATAAATAAATTGCTTACAGACAGAGACTGTGCCTCTGCGAGAGCAAACACAGAGACCTGCGGACGGAGCGAACACTGGCCCTCAGTCACTCGCTCAAGGTGACTGACTGAAAACAGAGCTGTATATGTGCATAATAAAACAACTCTTTCCGTGGAAGGTATGTGGACTGCAGAGATAGAAGTCATTTGATCAGCGAGTGAGGTTTTGTGTGTGTGTGTGTGTGTGTGTGAATTAGGAGGCATGTGACCCAGCGTGAAGGAAATGCCAGTCAATCTTGTTACACGCTGTCATTTTCCACGGGCTCTGCCGCTGCGCTTTGGACGCTTTGCCATGAATAGTCAATAGCTCCCAGTTTTGTGCAGGGAAGGGGATGGTTGTTCCTGCTATTGCTGAGCATCCTTGCTGCCTGATCTCCAAAATTTGCCCTGTCTTTGCCTTCTCTGGAGAAAAATTAAAAAGCATCTGTGCGCTCAGTGCTGCAGCGAACACAGAGTGAGATATTTTACACAACACCCTTAAAGAGCTCCATCCCATTGGCAGCACCTATTAATATTTCACAGGAAACAGGGGAAAAAAGAAAACATATTTCTTAAAGATATAGCTTCCTCCTTCATATGCGCAGGGAGGAAGTTGGGGTAGGTTGAAAGAAAGACTTAAAAGTAAGATTGCACATTTTCCTGGTATGCACAGCCCGTCAGTCAGCTGAGCCTCTGAACCGATAATGAAATACCCACATGTGTCTAACATGAGGAAGTTCAAGCAGAGGTTAGTGGCTCTGTTTTGTGACCTTAGCCTATAATAATTTCTTATAGTAAAAGTGAAGAGTCAGAGAGCTGAACTTTTTCTAACACATGGGACTTTGTTTTTTTTTTTAAATCTCTGTGTTGACAGAAAGTTCCTCTAGCAGAAGTCCCAGAGCTGAGCTATTCCCAGTTTCAAAACAAACCAAAACTTGCTTCTGAGAAGTCTGTATCGGCTTCCAGTAAGAATTCACTCAAGCACCTTGTTTCTACCTTGCACCAAAAACTGGTGACCGCCTTGTGAAACGTGGGGCAGAAAGAAGGAATTGCCCGCAGATGGTTTCTGATCCTCCCTCCCATGTCTACGTTGTTCCAGTCTGAACTTCTGAAGAATGGTGCTGTGAGCGAAATCTGGACTGAAACGTGTTTTTTCTTCTAAGAAAAGCTGGCGTGCTCTGTGCGTGCAGAGAAGGAGCCTGCACCAACAGCAGCGGGTAAGGTTTTTTGAAAGGTTTTTTTTTGTTTTGATTTTGTTTGTTGTTTGTTTTTTGTTTTTTTAAAAGTTCAAGTTTTCTTTAAGTGGCTGCAAGAAATAGGAAGCCACATATCAAAGTACCATATATTCCACTGGGAATAGAGCTAAACCCTAATTTGAATAAGGACTGAAAAGAGGGGGAAAAAAAATCCCAACAAACTCCTAGCAACTGCTGTGAGACACATCCCCCAGCAGAAAACAGCCAGCACACTTACTGCCCCGTCTCTTTTGACAAGGAGCAATGTCACTTGATGTAACCAGAGTCATTTTAAGAAGAGAGGGGACTGGCAGAGGCAAAGAGATCCAGTCACATTACGGGCCAAATCTGCTTTCTGTGCACTCTCAAAACTTGCAGAGCAGCCAAGATTTTGGGGAATGCCTGGAATGCAGGATCAGGCCTGGGCTATATTTTATCCTAAAGGCCAGACTAACAACCAAAAGGCTTTCATCCCCACTCTGCCTAAAGACACAGCCAAAACCAGAACATTAAAAACCAAACCAAACCAACCAAACAAACAAAAAAAGGCAGGGCTGCAGGGCTACACAAGCTATGGAAACTCATGATGCTGTTTACATAAAGCACTTCCATCTCTAGGAGAAATGTAAGCACCTATAGAGGGACCTCAGTGCCTGAGCCACTGAAAAACAGCCACTTCTGGAGTGAAATACAGCAGCTGGTCAACACACGGCAGCAACACGCTCTCCAACTTTTTAAAGAGTTCCCTTGGTTGTTATGATGTCCTAGAAACATGCTGTTCTGTTTAAAACCTGTCCATCTAATTGCCAGCTAAAAAAAAAACAACCCAAAAACAAAAATCCAAACAAACCCAAAAAAACCCAAAACTCCCAAAACAACAACAAAAAAGCAAAATAAAAAACCAGCGAAGGCATATTCTAACTCAGAGTAACACTGAAATGTTAAGTTCTGGGAACTTGCCGAAAGCCAGGGACGTATTTCCCAGCCTGTCATTTCTGAACAGTCAGTCCAGCACAGCTGGTCACACAGTGCTATATGGGCTCCCATACGCTGACAGTCGTGTCCTATGGACACTGCTACAGCTCCTTCTAGTTCAGGACCAATCTCTTTAAGGTTTTCCCATGTTCCCTAGAAGACTTTAAATCTGTGTAGGCTGACTGCTGCTCCATGGACAGAGCCATAAACCGGACAGCGGACCAGAAATTAAAATAGAAATGCATAGGGCAAAAAAACTTCAAAAAAATAATACTAAAGAAGCCAAAAGCCAGGAAAGCCATTTGCTGTCATCCCTTCTGCAGGGGGGCTGCGCTGCTCCCTGGACACAGAGTGGGGGAAAGGGGAGAGGTGTTGAGGGTCTCCCAGTTTCTTTCCAACCCCCCCAGTTCTGGGAAGCTGTAGGAACATTCCCAAAGCCTTATTTTCTGGAAAGTATC